TCTCTAGTAATCCTACCCATTCTATTAGGGCCATTAGAATTTTTTCACTAGACCTTGTCATTATCTAATTAGGAGTCTTTTGCTCCAAAATTTCCTCTAATCATGGTTTAAATCCTGAGATCATGGTTTAAATCCTAAGCAGCATGCTCACCTAGACTAACATACATTAAACCTGGGTTCTAATTATAAGAAGCATCAACTAATCATAATCTCAACTGTAGGAGGATAATTTCCGCATGTTCGCTAAGGGGTGTTTTCACACTTGATGGTTTTCCGACTCAACCACACCTGCCAGTACCTCTACCTGTAGGCATACATGACCTAGTAGTAATACTAGTGGGAGAATCTAGCTACTACATTTTCCATGACCTTTCTCTATAGGCGTACGTGGTCTTACCATAATCTCAATGTGAGCATCTGGCTTTACTACGTCTTCCAAGACCCTTAGTAATAGATGTCTGTGGTTTAACCATAGTGTTTGCGGGAGTCTCATGCTCTACCATATCGTTTAAAACTACTTGAGTTTTAGATGACATACTTGTTGAAACAATAGGATACACATATGGTAAATTTCATTTCAAGTGTCTCATGACAATACTAAACACATACATGGGTGACATCAACAATTTGGAACTAGACTTAAAAGATAAACAAAGAATAATATACGAGTCTCTTCTTTTGATTTGTGTTTGGAACACAAAGCAAAAACAATATTCTCACACATAACCTTGACACTCCGTGATACTACCAAGAAAGACTTAGGACTTATATGACCTAGAGCTATGATATCAACTTTGTCGCATCCCATTTTCACGATATAATTGACGCATGAACTTACGTGGGTATAGCTCGTTAGGCTTAAGCAAGCCTTAATCAATAATGCATAGGCTGGTCATCCATCGCATTCAATACATTCTCATCCATATAATAGAATAAACAAATAAGTCAACATCACTAATCATTATTGAACTTCTTAACATAATGAGTGAATTTGTCATTCACCAACTATCAACATTTGTATAACATGTGTGTTCTGTGATTCAGTACACATCTCATGCCATGTTGTTATGGATCATCCACCGTAGTCTTGCCATTAACATGCACCCATATTCGAGGCTCAACATAATGTGAGGAAGCATAAACAAATATGAGTACATCAACATTTATTTGCATAACCAAGTTCATTATCAACATAATAATTCAAAGACTAGACTCAACATACCATAGAGTGTAACAACATTGGAAGGTTGGAAGTGAGGCTCTACCACCCCTATGACAAATGAACTCGGCGAGTATTCCATAAGTCGCTTAGCCAAGCAAACTATTGATTTATAAAAAAATAAAAGGAAAATAACAAGTGAGACACAAAGACTCCATGATTGGATACGGGAAGGAGACAAGCTAGACGGAAGAGATTTAGCACAAATCAACAATTTATAATAAGCATGTGCCTTTAGATAATCATAGACTTTTCCTTTAAACCTTGAAAGTGAGATAGTTGTAAATCTGACAACATATTTTCATATAAAATATCACATTTCATTATCTCATTTACGAAATAAAAGATTGAGCATGCATGAAATGATATGCATGAAAAACAAGGATGTCATATGTTAGCGAATATTAGCTTCCTCTCAAGGATTGTTACCATATTTTCAATCTTGCCCTTCTATGTATAATGATTTGTGCTCGAGTTATATCGGATCCAATTTTAGGATCTACCACATAACATTTCTATTCATAACTTGTGAACTACTGACCCCTTTACATGATTTCCACATAAACACAATAATCATCAAAACACCACACATAGGTGTCACAGTACCCAATATATATGTGAGAAGTCAATTCATACCATTGATAAAGATAAAGGAAAGATGGGTACCTTCACCCAATTCATCCTTACAGCATGCTTACCCCCACACCGAGCTTAAATTAAGTGGTATTCTTACCCCCACAATAGGGTAAAGTTAGGTGGAATTTTCCATAACCAATATAACTAGTTCTCACAAGAACAACAAAAGCATGATTTAGGGTTTCTCATACTCACCCTGCATACCATGTTAATCAACATGCCTCAATGAGCTGAGAATCTTCGATGCTGTATTAGGAGCTTGAAATTCTTGGGAATTTGTTTAGGAGTGATCTGGTTTCAAAGGGAATGAATGGCGAATTCTAAAATTTGTAATGGGTAAAGTATCTTATGTTTAACCCCTTTTTAAAATTTGTTCCCTTCTTATTTCCCTTGCATAGCTAATTATCCAATAAAAAAAGCCTTACAATCTGATTTTGAAATCTAAAATTTTTTCCCTTGGTAGATTTCCTTACACATGCATTAGCCATTTGTTGGCCATTCAATTTCCCATCTTGCATGTTTTCTTTTTTCCTTCAAATGACCCTCGTGTTTCCCCCACCAAGTAATTGTTGTCCTTGCATGCATTATAAGGCCATATAGTGGTCGGCCACATTAACTCCAAGAGTCAAGATAAGAATATAGCTAAGTTCTCATAATTGGATAGGTAAATTAAAAGAAATTGATGCAATTAAATCTAGTCCAAGTTTTTAAAACATGCAAGTAAAAAAAAAAATTTAACGAAACTAACCTAAAATATCACAAAAACTAATAACAATAAAACCCCCCAACAAACCTAAATTTCACCTAATCCTCAGTGTGAAAAGCTAAAAAGAATAAGGAAAATAAACTCCTTTATCAGTTGTGACAGTGCGTTGAAAGCTCTAATTTTCATTCTCATCATCTTTATGTGTTTTAAACCTACATACTCAATAAAACAAGCTAGGGAGAGGTTATAACTACTTATTTAAATTGAAAAACAAAAACTAACTAAAATAACAATTAAATCTTAAAAGATATAGCTTGGGTTACGTCCCAAGAAATGCTTTTTTATAGTCATTAGTTTGAGTATGATACCACTTTATTGTTGTTTATTGGAGTATTTTAGGATCTTTGGTGATCCAATTCACCTCCCAAATAATGTTGGAAATGCTACCCATTCACTTCGAAAGTCCTGGTAGCTCCATTATAAATAACTATTGCACCACATGTATAGACCTTAACCACCTTATAAGGACTTAACCACTTTGATTTTTGTTTCCATGGTAAAAGCTTGACTAATTTGGTTAGTTTATCCCACTTTAAAATCAAGATTAACTGAAGTTGGTGGATCATCCTTATCATAACATTGCTTAGTTTTGAGATGTGATGGTGGTGGCTTTAATTCAAGAGTTGGTGTTGGCTTACATGTAAGTGGTGGAGTAGGATTACCTTTACATTTATCAGCTAAGTCCACTCTATAGTAATGAGCTGTGGAGGAAGGGTATTTAGTTGCATTGAAAATAGTAAATTCAACTACCACCTCACCAACTTTGAAAGTTATTCTTGCTTCCTGTACATCCATGAGTGCACATGCAATGGCTAAGAATGGATGTCTTAGTATAATTTGAAGCTCTTGATCTTTTTTATTTCAAGTACTATGAAGTCCATTGGAATGTATACTTTTCCCATTTTAATTAAGACATCTTCTATAATTCCATAGAGGTGCCTCATTGTTCTATCTACTAGTTGCAAGTTAACTGTAACAGGTTGAATTTCCATTAATCCAAGTCTCTTAGTAACTAACAAAGGAATTATTGAGACAAAAACACCCAAATTGCACAAAGCTTTCAAAAATTAAAATTACCAACTGAGCAAGGGATAGAAAAACTCCTTAGGTCATTAAGTTTTGGTCGAAGCTTTTTTCCGATTATCGCGTTGCACTCCTCAGTGAATGCAATCGCCTCAAAATCTTCTAATTTCTTCTTCTTTATCAATATGTCCTTCAGAAACTTCACATATGATGGTATTTGCCCCAAAAGTTTTTATGAAAGTAATGTTGATGTTAAGCTTTTTGAATACCTAAAGAAACTTTTGGAAATGCTTATCAAGCTTTTGTTTTGAAAGTGTTAAGGATCAGGTGATAGTGGTAGAGTTGCCTTTGCTTCTACCTCTTGAATTTGCTTATCAACTAACTCAATCATTGTTTTGATTTTTAACTAGCTAATCTTGAAGTTTATCTTGCCTAACAGTACTTTTAACCTTTTTTCCACTCCCTATGGTGATTGCCTTAACTTGTTCCTTACTTTCTCTCCTAGGATTCACCTCTGTATCACTAGGTAAGGTCCCTTGAGTTCTATTGCTTAATAAGTTGGCAAGCTGACCAACTTGAATCTCAAGGTTTTGTAGTCATGCTACTTGACCTTCAATGATGCTATTAGTCTGTATCACGTATTGACTTAGCAAATCTTCCATAGCTAGCCTTGTTTCTAACATAGGCACTTTTGCTTACTTTTGGAATCCCAGAGCTGCATTTGGCCTTGAAGTTGAGAGGGATCCTTGATTATTGGCCCAAGAGAAGTTTGGATGGTTCCTCTACCCTAGGTTATAAGTGTTGGAGTAAGGGTTATTCTTGATCTATCCCTATAAATTACATTGTTCTTGTCAAACATGGATGTTGATGACTTGCATGGTTATTTACATAATACTCATATGCTACAAACAAACTTTGAATAGTGTTAGTACCAAAAGATTCAAGAGTCCTAGTTAGAGCTACTACCTATGTAGATAATGTTGAAAAGGTATCTACATTATGAATTCTAACTACTCTTTTATGCATTGATCACTTTACTGGTCATTGGTAGTTGTTTACAGCCATCTCTTCTAATAAATCATATGCCTCATCAATTGATTTAGCCATTAAAGCTCCTCTTACAGTCGCATTAATGGTAGATCGAACATGCCCAGTTAAGCCATTGTAGAAAGTTTGCACTTGAAGCCATTTTGAAAGACCATGATGACGACAGTGTTGAGGTGATTCTTTGTATCTATCCCAAGCCTTATACAATGATTCAAAATCTTGCTACATGAATGATGTGATATTGTTCTTCATTTTTGTTGTCTTGACCAGAGGAAAAAACTTAGCAGGGAACTTTTGAGCAAGATCATCTCATGTTGTTATTGAGCCAATAAGGAGCACATTCAACCATGCTTTAGCTTCGTTAAATGTGAAAAGAAAAAGCCTCAAATGAATTGCATCAGCTGTGACCCCATTATGTTTGAATGCATCACAAATTTCCAAGAAGTTTGATAGATGGCCATTTGGATCATCATTCGGAAGGCCCCCAAATTGGACTGACGTTTGAATCATGGTGGTGTTAGTTGGCTTAATCTCAAAATTGTTTGCTTGAATAGCTGGCCTTTGAATGCTCAATGGAATTCCTTGTACCAAAAGAACAATATAATCTTTTAAGAAACAATTTACAGCTACTACATGCTCTTGGATTTGCTGCTCACCCTGTTGATCAGCCATTGTATTTATTGGAGCAAAACCTTGTTGATTTTCTTGTCAAAGTCTAAGGATGTTCTCTCAATTTCTTGATCACAAGATATAATCTCCAAGCTTTTTGCTTTTCTCATACAACGACTGAATACACCTGCAAAACAAAGAAATAAAATTGAAATTAAGACTAATTTGTGACATTTGAATATTATCAAATAATAAAGAAAACAAAGTCCCTGGCAACTACGCCAAAAACCTTGTTGTCGAATTTTCACCCAAGTGCACGCTATCGTAAACAAGTAATATAGTAGAAATGGAGTATCGTTCCCACAAAGATTTATTCCTAAATTTTTATTAAATACTAAAAAGTTATAACAAATCAATCTTATTCAAGTAACTAAAATTTGTAAAAAATTAATAAAAATGAAAATAAATAAATACTCAGTTAACTAATAAAAATTAAAATTACTTGAAAAAGGTAATATATTAAAACCTAGGATTATGGGTTCATTCAACACTTCATCTGATATCAGCTTTTCTTATTATTTACATTCATGGGTGGTTATACTAACCTAGAATCCAAAGCTATATACAAGTCTCCATTGAGATGCTAGCACAAATACCTAACTTAATTAGGTCATTATATGTTTACAATAATCAATTAAATAAGGTTCATTAAGCTTGTGTTCCAATTTTGCTATGTATCGTAATTGGTGTGTGTCTACTCGAATAGTGAATAAGATCACTTAAGTGACGTGAGCATACACTATTCAAATCTTAGTCCAATCTAAAATATATCTGTCAAGTCTCAATTAGATTCACAAATCATTTAATTGTTAGCCAAACAATCAAAAGTATTAAGAACGTATTTGAATGAGCAAAACTATACACATTCAAAATAAATAAAAGAGAAACTAATATTCAGATTACGTGCTAAAATCCACCACAATCCTAAAAAAATAGTTTAGCTTATGATATCTAACAAAAATAATATCCAAAGAAATTTAACCATAAATCCAAGTAAAAGGAAATAAGAGAAACACAAAAATAGAGAAAGAAACTAACTATAAAAGCTTTGCAATCTCAATTCTCTCTCAAATTCACTTGTTTTCTTGCTTTGTTCTTGGCTTCTTTTCTTTAGAATAGTTGCTTGCTGCCACCCATTTAAAACCTCTGAAAAAAGTCCCTTAAATAAGTTCCAAATAACCTAATTTTCAAAATCTCGTCAAATTTTTATTTTTGGAAAATCGTTAGGTGTAGCGGCCATGATTTCTTGGTGCCGCGGCATTGCCTGTTTTGCTACAATAGCACCACGGCCTTCCTCTCTTGGAGCCATGGTGCTCAAGCCTCGAAAACTTTTATGGTACCTTTCCTTTTAGTAGTGCTACAGCCTTGCTCCACTCAGCACTACGACCTTGGCTTCCTTGGCGTTGTAGCCTTGAGTAACTTAAGACCATGACCTTCCTCCACATGTTGTCTTATGCAGAACTACAGTAGTCTAGCATATTCCAATATAATTTTCAATTTGACTGGATCTGAACTGGGTATAGTGGTCAACATAAAAGTTTTAGCCCTGTCTTGTATCTTTTCAATGGCTGAAGAATCACATAAATTGGACTTCTGTAGTGAACTATATTCCCTAAATACCTCATTATGTTCAGTCCATGCATACTGCTATGTTGCTATGACTTAGACAAATAGTTTGACCATAATCCAATTACAATTGGACAAAATGATTCAATTAAAAGATGTATCCTTCCTCTTACCATTCCATTGGTTCAAGAATCACTTCATTTGAAGTTCTTTAGAGAAAGATATGGTCAAAATACTACAACATATACAAAGAAAGCCATTACGAGACTTGCCCGAATTTTCATCAAATGAAATTTTTTCATCAAATTTGCTACATAAGTAAGGGAAATCAATAATAACTACTCTTAAATTAATTTAAAATAAAGTCCAATCAAATCAAAGTAAAATAAGTTAAATTAACTACTCAACATGTAATCAAATTTAAACTAAAAAAACATCTAAAATACTAAAATTGAAACCTAAAATCTAAAAAATCTAGCTACTTAAGCGCCTAACATGTGTCAAAATAACTTTACGTAATCGAGTTATCAATAACTCTATATAATTGAGTTATCAATAATTTTATACAATCGAGTTATCTTGCCATATTTTGAGTGGTAACGTGGCTAAGTCTTTGAGTTTAGGCAAAGTTTTAACTAGTTTTCTTTGCTTTTCATTAATTAGTTAAGGTATGATTGACCTAGTTTACTTCAAGTTATTTTAGTTGATTTGTATGGTAAAAATGCCTATTTTTAACTATAGCTGATTTAGTTCCTATGTTTTTAAGGTCCTCAAAAGAGAAGGGGTCAAGTGGCAGAGAATTGTACAAATTGGCCAGGTCTAGACTTGCCTAAATATGCTGTGGTATTTCAGACATAACTCAAGTTACAGAAGCCCAAATGACATGATTCTAAAACCATTATAAATTTAAGAGGAATTGCTACAACTTTTATGTTTATCACTTTACCTAGTTCTGATCGCAACATGGATAGAATTGCATTCGAAGTAGTTAGACTGCAGTAGTTTTGCACAAGGTAGCTTGAAGGAACAAAGCATGGAAACAAGCATGGAGCGACAACGCAATGCTCCTAGAACCGCAACATCATCCAAGTAGCCAGTAAGCACCCAAGGTAGAAGTTAAGGCACTGTAGTGATAATTCTATTTTATAGAATTATTTTAATCTAAATTTGTTATTAAATGTTGGCTACATCCTTAAATTTTAATGAAATTTTAGTTATTTTGAGTTATTTTTTTAATTATTTTATTTTTGTTGAGTTATTTTAATTTGGCTATTATTTATTAGTTTTTACACTTTTGTAGGATTTAAAAGAATAAGGCTTAATGTTAGAAGGAAAGGTGTTTGAAGGACCCAGAATACTGCTTGTATATGCTTTAACAGCGTCTTGCTCTCAATGCCATAGCGTTGACATCCAACCTAACAAATTTTTTACAGCTTTTGATCTTTTAAATCGAACAACTACATGCCGTGGCTTAAATAGGCCTTTTTAGTGCTAGAAAAAAGGGTTTTTGTAGTAGCTTTCAATGAGGAAAACGAGGCAACTTTCTACAAAAAAAAAAAAAACAAAGGAAAGAAAGGATTGAAGAATTTCTTAAAAGCTTCAATAATGTACATAAGATCATTTTTCTCTCACTAGTTCTCTATCACTCTATCTACCATTTATTATATTAAATGAATACTTTTCTAGAAATATTGGACTTTGTTTTAAATATGTTGAAAGAAATTTTTACTCCTAAGATTATGGTTAATCTTTACTTAGAGTTTGGTTATTTTAACATTCTTTTACTTAATATTTGAGTATTGTGTTGTTTATTTGAAATATATACTTATTGCTTCTAATTTCTTGATCAACAATTAGAGTGAGTTGGATCTCTAAATGCAACTTGACAAAAGGAATTTAGAATTCGCTAAGGGTTTGAATAGCATGTGTCCACTTCACTTAGAGCATAGGTGATTTGATTAGGATTTAGGGTAAAAATATGCCTAAATATCATGTGCAATCAAATTTAGAGCATAAGCTTAGTAAACTTACCCTAATTAATTTACATAGACATACGGAAAATTAATTCAAATAGGTAGGTTTATTAGTGTAAGCCCTACTAGCCAATCGATTTTGTGCTTGTAAAAGCACTACATTAATTAGTCATATTTCATGTTGAATACATTATGGATATTTTATATAATATATGAGGTATTTCTTTATCCATGAGTTTATTTATAAAGAGTTATGGGAGACTTATGTAGATAAAGTCCTTGGAACATAATGGCCTTGCAAAGAAATTATAAGGGTTATAATTATGATATTCTTATGCATCAAAGCCTTTTTCCTGAATATGTTCCTAGTCATTGTATTGTCAAGAATAAGGACATTCACAATGCTCATAGGCTGGTACATGTTAAGCCTCTTTATTTTGGAAGTAAGCAATTGATTTAAAGTCTTTGGCCAAGGCAATTTTGATATGTCAATATAAAAGTTGCAAGACTAATATGGATAAGTTACAAAGTAGAGACCAAGCTAGGCTTTCTATCTATCTGGGATATATGATGAAAAGATCGAATTACACTGAGATACTGTAAACTGAAAGGTTGGTCAAATCATATTGACTCTCCTGACATTTGGGTGGTCATGATGTATTGCTAGATACTGTTCAAGATCTATATATATAAATATAAATTCTTAATTGAATTAATTTATATTTATTGCCAACATGTTGGGAACCTAATCGGTCACGCACATAAGGTGAATTGTCAAAATTAATTTGAGTTCAATTGGATGTGATCTAATTGATTTTATAGAGGCTTAGTCCAATTAAGCATTGAGCTAAATCAAATATGACTTGATGGAGTATTCAATAAAAACCCAATTAGCCCAAGACATTTTATAATCCTTGTTGGATATAAAGTACGTCAATTCACTCTATAAAAGAATCCCTTAACCTCTTCTTGAATATATAGAATAGTTTGATTTTATTTTCTCATGTGTTGAGATAGGATCAGAGCAAAAAGAGAGAAACACAAAAGGAGCTCAAAAGTTGAGAGTTTGCTAGCACAAACTTTGGTTTAGGGATTCACACACTCTTAGTGAAGAGATTTTAGCAAATCACCATGTGGATCACCATTAGAGGTAGGACAACTGTGCTGCTATGGTTTGATAAGTCTTAGTTGGTGTACAAAAGTTAAAACGAAAAGCCAAGGAGGACTCCACCAAAAAAAGGCTGACTTTCAAGTATGTTAAAATTTCTCTTGTAGTTTTTCTAGATTAGTTTTAATTAAAGTGATCCATGGCTTAGGGATTAAAATTTTAATAATATTTTGCTTCACATGATTTAAATCCCCAACAGTGGTATCAGAGCCTCTTTTAATTGATTTAATTTAGTTTTATGTTTAGTTGTTGAAGATTACAAAAACTGTTTTGTTTATATGTCGATTTGATGCAAA